AATTCGTTCTTGCCTTGGGAAACCTCGTCATAGCCAGAACGATTGAATATGTAGACGCGTCATAACTTCAGCCCGATAGTATCCGCACTAAATTGGTGAGCCCAAATTTTTTTAACCCATTTTTTACCATCCAACGGCTGATATTTTTCAGTGAGTCTGGTGCTCCGCACAAACAATTTTAATTTTGCGTATTTTTGCGTATACGTTTATTATTTATTGTACATTTTTGACGATTTCATTGCAAATATCACTTTTATTCTCTACGTGCCTATTTTTGTTGTCGCAAAACTACGTCTTTCGGATTTTGCGTTTCGTAGCTTTTGGTATCGTCGAGATTTATTTTGTTCATTCGTTTTTCGTGCACCAGTGTCCTGATATTTACGTTCATTCGGGCTTGATATTACTCATTTACTTATTTACCTGAATCCTTAATCTTTGTCATCATTTTAACTCATGTCCTGAGGGTAAAGAGAGCAGTACTAGCGCACCACAAGACGAGACAAGCGTGTTGGGTCTGCAGGCGCTTATACCCGAGTTTATCCCTGAAGACCCCGAGTTTCGGCCAGCCCAGATGGAAGCCCAGTTTAAGCTAGCTCGGGTGACTAACCAACTAGCTAAGTTCACCCAACTCGTGGGTTGCCTCCCGAGGTCTATGTCTTCGGACTTACGGGATATCGTATGTAATCCGACTACCGATCGTCCGTATGACGCACTCCGTGACGCAATACTAGGCCGTTTCGGCATGCCGATGGAGTGCCGCCTTGAGCAGCTCCTCGGTGGCCTGCGCCTCGGCGATAATGGCCTAGACACACCCACGAAGCTCCTGAGTTACATGCAGGGGCAGGCTGCAAGTCTCAGTGTCGACGACAACATCCTCTGCCTGGCTTCGATGCAGGCTCTACCGAAGAGCTTGTCTTCTATTCTGCAGTACTTTGGCCAACGCTACACACTCACCGAATTGGCCGAAATGGCAGACCGCGTGTACGCCGATCAGCTTTCGGTCCAAACTCTTACCCACCCAGCGCATCCACCACCCTCTTCCGAAAACGCTGAACTGGTAGCCTGCGTCAAAGCGTTAGTTGCACAGGTCCAGGCGTTAACACTATCACGCGACCGGCCATGACAACGACGTCGCTCGCGCTCCAACCACCGGAGCTGCAACCCCCGACGCCATCGTTCTTGTTTGCCCTCTAATGGTGTTTGTTGGTATTACCGTCGCTACAGTGACGCCGCCAAAAGGTGTCTCAAACCATGCACCTACACGCCGCGGTCGGGAATTTAGGCAGCCGACCGGCCCAGGCGACGACCGTGTCCGGCTCGCCACAACCAAGTCGTCTGTTTTTCGTCACAGATCGAACAAACGGGATACGCTTCCTGATCGACACAGGTGCACAGGTCAGTGTGATACGCCCTCGCCCCACTGACCTTCATCGACATTCTTCTGTGGAACTGGTCGCTGCGAATCGCACGCCCATCAAAACCTACGGCGAGCGTTCACTCACACTGAACCTCGGTATTCGCCGTAGTTTACCTTGGGTATTTATCATCGCCGACCTTCCACAATCCATCATAGGCATAGACTTTCTCCGGCATTTTAACCTGATGGTTG